CATGGAACTTTCCATTAGGTTGGCGTAAGGATGATACATCCCCACACACATTAGTATCTAGGGTCTCAGAAGAAACTATGGTATCATTTAATTATTCCAGAAATAACACATGATCAAGTAATGAAAGAAGGGGTTATAATAAATACACAAGGGGCCAGAGTTATGGTTGCAATAGTATGTGAATAAACTGGGAAAGAGGTTCATATTTCAACCAGAAGGACTGCAGTATAAAAATTAATTTAGAAAAGAAACAACAAGGTAGAGGTAAGAGATAGGAAGAGGGTTGACTTATCTCTGCCACAGGGTCTCTATAACCAGCAATACACTATTCATTAGGTAGCAGAACCTTAGGATGAGAAGGGATGAGGGCACAACTGTATCTCTGATAGCACAGTTCTAGCAAACTCGGAATCTTTCATGGGTTTGGTCAAAGTGGATGCCAGAAAGTTTCTTGTCATTGTTGCATTTCATATGTATGTTTGGGAGTTAGTGAGTGTAGTGATTATAGCACAGCACCTGGAGTTCTATTCCTCTCTCCACTCTGGGCTCACTGAGTGACCTTGGGCTAGAGACCTTTAACCAGTTTGTGCCTCCACTTCCCCATCTATAAAATTAGGATAATAGTATGTACACTTTGGTAAGGCACTTTGAGACCTACACATAAAAGTGCTGTATTGTAAGGAACTGGGGTATAGGCAGTCTGGCCTAGTGGTCATAGCTGGGCTGGGAACCACACGTCAGGGACGTTAGTTGGTGAGCTAAGGTCAGAGGAATTGCTAGAGCCAGGTTCAGTAAGCAAGAGTCAGGATAAAAGTCAAGCCAGGGTCAGAGACTGGAGATCAGATATTACCAGGCTGGAATCAGAGACTGGGGATCATAGGTAGTAACAGGCTAGAATTAGGAGGCAAGAGTCAGGGTCAGAATCAGCTAGGATCAGAGGACGGAGATCAGGTGAAGTCTGTGTGGTTGCCCAGACAACTTCTGGGGCACCCTACAGGGTTAAATAGGGGGTTTGGCCAATCAGAGGGCCTCAAGGTACTGTCACTTTGGGTCTCTTGGGCAGTACTTCCTGTGGCACCTACTCTCCACAGTGCTCCTGGGCATGGCTCTGTATGGCCTCCTGGTAGCACTGTGGGAACATCGACTGTCCCAGGCTCTGCAGACCTGGGTTATAGTCCCCGGATCCTTACATGTATAAGTGCAAAGTATCTGTATACCAGCTCTCTACCTTTGTTTAATCCTGGTCTTCACCTCAAGTTCTGTCCACCCAGTTAACGAAAAGCAGATTTTATAATAAAAACTGCTTTTCAACACTGTTAACCCTGCTTCCCCTTCATCTGGACAGCTATGACCAGCCATGCCCAAAGAAATTGAAAACAATCACCCAGCTAAGCTGATGATGTTCAAAATATTGTGAGCAAGTGGGTTCCACCCTTCTTGTTCTGTCAGCCAACAATTTGGTCATCTGTTAGTTTGGATTTTGAGACAAAAAAGAGGCAGATACTGCTTCCTGCAAGACTTGTTGTTTTATTATCTCCTAGTCCAACAGCATGCTAAACTCCTTGGCCCAGGGAATATCAATATTCAGATCATTCAGCTATCACAGATGCAGTATCTGGGGGCACAGTTCATGCAGGTTACAGGTCCCCTGCTGGGTTGTCTGCTGCCCCCTAATGACACATAGGAGAGTAGCACACATTTACTCCTAAGCAAACACCACAGTTACCAACCTGCAATGGAGTGTGCAATATACAGGCACTGCAGATGCCATCAGCCCTCCCCAATATACACAAGAAAATACTATTTCTCTGACTGAAAATTTAGGGTTTGTCAGTGAACAACATTTATCTAGCAAGTTTCAGGGGGACAAAAGTGAGTAGTGACTTCCTGTGGAAATTAAATGAAACCACAGCACATTTCCATGTGTGTCCTCTACATATTCACCCTCCATGTGACCACCTGAATTTGTTTCCTCAGGCTCAATAAATGGAAAGCAGATGAGAGCTTGCAACAGTAGTTCATTGGATTTGTCCAGATAGGCAACCTAGAGGCTTGTAGGTGAAGTCTCACTTCCTCTATTTCACTGTTTCCTCAATGGAATATCAATCAGTGAGCAAGTAGGTTAGTTTGACCTGGTAGTGTCAATTGAGAAATAACGTGGCACTGAGATATTTGATAAGCTAATTGCATAACAGATAGTTACATTATTGACACAGCAGCCCTGAAAAGTTTCCCTTGTACTTAGCATAAGGACAGACACCTTCATGCAAAAAGATGAATTCAGGGGAAAAACAGTACATATAAAAATGAAGTTACAGCCAACAAAGGGTGTAAAAGGGGATTTCAGGGAGGGATTACTTTAGCATGGATAAAGTTGTATCTTTGATTTACCATAGCAAACGTGGTGAGAGTTTTGTCTGATATAGAAAATACATCTGGGTGTGGTGAGAAACTGAACTCTTGTTTGTGACAGAGGACTAGTGTCAGGATGGTAGATTATCTTGACTTTCTTCTCCAGACTTTTATCAGTGCCTCTGTTCCTCTCCCTGTCATCTCCCCCCATATAGGGTTACCTGTGTTGCAGGAAGAGAAGCTTTTCTGTGTGACCTTAAGAATCAGATTCTGTCTTTCAACAGAAGACTACGTACAGTATACGGTGAGGCTGGATGTGGAAAAAGTGTTATCATGGCAAAGGCAGCATCTTTAGCTTCTAACTGGATACCAGGGTAAGGACCGCTCAGATTCATTAAGGAGAGGGAATTTATACAGCTACAGGGACAGAAGTTCTCTCTCTGTCCCTGAGTCACCCCCAGCAATAGCTAGTGCAGTCTAATGGAAACAGCTAACATCACTAACGCCTCTTTCTCAGGTTTGCTGCTTTGACCACTTTAAATGTTTAAGGTTGCAGTTGAGTTAATTTTGCTGTTGAAACCTTATTTTTTGTATTTTCTGGGTTTTTTAAATTTGGCTATGCAATCTTAATGTTTAATTAGCATAGGGATTTCTGCATTCAAATAAATGATATACTGTTATATACTGTATAATTTAATGTAATGCAAAAAATCCCCTATGTTAATTAATATGAGAGATAAATATGTGGAAGTGTGGAACAACCACAAAGGTGGAAATGAGAAGTGGGGGGAGAAGGAACAAAATAATTCTAGAGGAACTTTGTGGGATATTTTTGAAATTCCAAGGAAGAAAAATTGGAAGTCAGTGAAAGTTCCGCATATGGAGGGCTTGCAAGATGATGTTCATTATTTGTAAATGAAGATTGGATAAAGATTTCACTACTAGGAGAAACATTAATTTAAGAGAAGTGCCTTTTATAAATTAGCCAGGTTCTTTCAAAAGAAAAATAGAGGTGCAAGACATATATTGTTGCAATTTAACCTTCTTGAATGGGTTTGTCTTTGAAGATGTATTGCTGATATCATAAGCAATTTAACAAATGAAAAAATTACA